AATGGGGTTTGAAAACTTGTTTTCCCTTTGAATTAAGTAGTTTTTAAGGCTATTGGCAGATATTTTTGCCTTATTTAATCACAAATTCATTTAATTTTGATACAAGACAAAAATATTCACTTTTATGCAGTGTGATCAGAAGGTAACGTAAAAGTTATTTCCATATTTTAGTTGAGCTATTTTTTGGTTTAAAAAATTGCAGTGCTGCTAACACAACTCATTGCCTCCTCCATATTGACGAGTTGTGTTCCCTTTAATTTTCTTTAATTGATCTCAGAAAGGTCTTAAATTCACCTCCCTACACTTTTCAGAAACCCTATCATTGCACGGCATTCAGAGTGTACAAATGTCATTTGTTTGATTTTAATCAAATTTTCCTTTATTTCCAGTTGTAGTTGGGAAGGGAAAGGTGCTGATAAAATAGTTTGCTCAGTTAACAGTGCTAAAGGAGACAAATAGCCCTAATTAAGTGAGGTTAAGTGGCATTTGTGCCGGAATAAAGCAAGCATCACAAATACATTCAGCATGACGGATGCACAGGCCTGATCACCTCGAGGTGATTGAAGGTCAGACGTAGTCGCTGCATGGACAGGCAGTGCTGTTGACACATTGGGAGAGGTGGTTGTGTGATTTGGATCTTCAGTTGACGTCAGTCACACGTCGCAGGGAGCCCATGGTAGGACTTGGGCTGCCCCACTCAACGTATCTCCTGTATTCGCCGGGGCGCAGGAAGAACTGGCGGCCAGTGTAGTTGGGGTGCTCGTGGAGGGTCCAGTAGCCTTCCATGACATTTGCTGAAGAGATGTCTCCATTGTGGAATCGCTGACGCAGGTCAGGGCAATCTTCATTCAGCTCCATTGCCTGACCACCAAAATCGGAGCGCTCAAAGATTTTCATCCTGTAGTTTCCAGTGTACTGGGGAAGAAATAATCGGTGTTGTATTAAAAAAAATCTCCAAAGATGTAAAGCATTGCTCTGATTGATCAGACCCAACACTGGATCAGCCAATAGCATGAGTTTGGGGTGGGAGTATCTATTCGGTTGACCAATGGCAGACAAGGTGAGTGTTTAGGAAACCTGTTTGTTTTCATATCATATAAACAGAGTAAACATCCCAAACTTTAAAAACAAAAGAATAAAAAAAGAGAAAATTACAAAATACTCGAACAGTCTTTTTTTTTTGATGAACTAGATTCTCCCAACCTAACCTACATAATTAAACTCTTAACTTGCTGATGCAAAGTGAAAATATTTCCTATCACAATAGATTAATTTTAAATAATGCTTTTTTTTCTGCTTCTACTGACTGTACAGTAAAGACTCACAGGAGGAACCAAGCGACAGGAACGAATGCAGTCGTTGAATCCAGCCCAGCGCTGGAAATCAGAGTATTCACCCTTGGAAAGCATGTACTGGTATCCAGCATAGTTGGGCCTCTCGTAGGCCACCCAGCTTCCACTCTCTACTCGGATGGAGTTGCAGCGAGAAAAGTGGGCCTGCATGTCAGTGCAGTCTCCAATGCACTCATAGTGACGGCCCTGGAAGTTTTTGTCTTCAAAGAAAGTAATCTGTGGGATAGTTATAATAAAAGAAAAATACAGGATTACAGGTACATTTTTAGTTTGTAGTTTCACTTTTTCTTGAGTATTTTATCTGATTTGTATTTATTTACTTATTTTTGTAAGAAGTTACATGGAAAATCTGAAATGTTCTTTTTAATAGTAATTTTTGTCTTCTGTATGACAACTTATCTTTTAATCCAGTTAACTGTTTTATAATTTTTCTAAAGTTTTGATATATTTCCTTCACCATTAAAAAAATAACAGCTGT